TTACTATTTATTATTATTATGATTAATATAATTATTATTATTATTAAATTAATGTAAGGATTATTATTATTATAATTATTATTATTATCTTTATTATTACCTGTTGCATCGAGGGTTCTAGATAATTTGGATTTTCCCACATGTCGTGTTGAATCATCTTTCCTTTAGCATGTGTTGGAAAGGACGACTTTTTTGTTACTATAATGTTAAAATTCAAAGTTAAAAGAGATTCTTGAACCTTCGTTGTATTAGTTATTATTATTGTTTACTACAATTACAATTAGTTATATTATTGCTATTTCTATTATCACGATAAAGCTTATATATTTATTATTAGTACCTATTATTACTGTCAATTATTAGTTATCGCTTTTGATCGGTTGATTGATAGAAGAACTGATTCCCAAGAATTTTAATCTATATCTAATCGTGTTTTGGCATAATACGATGTGACTGTTTAAAAAAAGTGTGTTATTGTGCCTCGACTTGCGCAATTACTGAAAATTTCTATCTTGCCTTTATAGTGGACTATGAAAGAAAAATTGCATTTTAGGTAACGAAGGCAAGACCAAGTACAATCACAGATTTTACAAACAGTTACGATAATACCGACGCATATTTCTATAGATAAAGAAAAGAGGGTTTGTAAATTCCATAGTAAATAATTTTCGGCGCACTAAAAATTTTGCAATAGTTTACTCATGCCATGGAAGACTTTTATGAATTCGTAGGCATCGTTAAAGGTGCAAATAGATGTCGTTTGAAAAAAGTACGAGTCTATTGAAAAACAACAAATTGAATTGAGATTTTAAAACGGTTCTAACATCCTGAAATAATTGGCGAATGAATCAATTTCATTCATGGCATGCTAAAAATAAAAAGTATGAAGGAGAGTGAGAGTGCGAAGTACGGCACGGAGAAATGTATAGTTACAGCGTGCGTATAACATTTCAGTCTCTTTCGGTTACGAGCCACAGTTCCGCAAGCGTAGAATTTGAAAAAAAAAACAAAACGTTATGGACACAAATACAAAATTCTTACATTATACAAATGAATGCATACCCGGATAATCTAAAAAGAGTATAGGAGAGATTACGAATGTATAGAAGTGAGAGGATAATAAAGAATATATTAAAAATAAACTTCACGGACAATGATCACGATAATTATGAACGATACGTCGATGGAAGGATATTAAAAATGCGAAAGCAACCTTTTCCTGATGGAAACAAAACTGTAATTACGATCTGTGTGTCATCGCGAACTTTTTCGCAAATCTTCGCGCCTCGCGCGCACGCGGTTAAATGTAAGTGATTTCGATGTTGAAGACAAATACAAAAAAAGGGACTTTTTAAAAATTACTTTAGGACCCCTTGTTCGATGTAAATATTGATATGATGGATGAAACGAAAAATAAAAAGTAAAAACAAAAATCGGATAGCCGTACGACAAAAAACAGCGCCGTGTGTAAAAAATTTATCCCCCTAGGCAATGTTTTTAGGCTTAATACGAAAATGATAGCCATCATGCGCGGAGAGATTCACGCGAAGTTGAGAAAAAAGCAGCCGTTGAATAACAAAAACAAATTACTCTAGTCATAAGAGACATGCGAAACGTAAGGAAAATTTTTTGAACCCCGCCAGTGGTATCGGTCCGATCGATTCCGTTAGTCGCGAAAAGTTCTTCAATGAAATTCACAATGTATTATTTATCTTGTAACAAAATTCTTGAGTGAAATTGAAGCACATTGTAAATAAACCGCTATGTTCGCACCGCTCTGTGCGATCGAAAAATCCAGTATTCGGTCCGATTCGGCAATGACATTGAAAACGTTATACGAAAAAGAGTCAAAATTTAAACGGAACGACGTATCGAATTAGCGGATTTCCTCGTGCGGGGTTCAACTTTAAAATTAAGATCTTATAGGAATTATTGAATGATGGAAAAGGCGAATGAAAATTGCGTAAGAGTGTTTCGAGGAATGCGAGATGATAAAAAAATCGTGGAGAAAAAATTATAGTGAATATGTATGAGAGTGTGTGTAGATGAAAAAAAATGAATTATTAGAGAAAACAAAATTTTACTACCAAGTGGACTAGAATCGCAACCGATGGGCATTATTAAAAAATAAAAGAAAAAGTAAGTTGAAAAGATAAAAAGTTTTTTCGGAGCGTTTTTTCCGATATGTGGAGAAAAAAATGCGTCCAAAATTGTACCTATTTTCATTTTATAAATTATATAAATATATAAATATATATATAGATATACGATGACCTCCTATAGACCGATTAAACTATTATGTGAAGTATCTAAATGTAAAAGGGTCAAAAGAAGATTATTGTATCTATATTCCGGAACTAACGCAGACGACGATAATAAATATTGTACTCAAGTTGCGGTGGATAATTTATTTACGATGATACACTTATTGTATATTAATACGTCGTGGGAGTATTATAAATTAAGCGCAAAATTGTAATCATGACAAAAAAGGTTAATACAGAATTACTCTTTAGGCTATGAGAAAAAAATCACATAATTAAGGACAAAAAAAATTGTATATCTCGATGAACTCATTATGTCAAAAAAAAAATGATACTTCGTCATGTAGTCAAGATTATTTATACGAAAATTCATGTTTGTACATTATAATGTGTATGTCGGCTAAATTCAACTCCCTTTTCGTATCTTTAAACAATGTGCGATCATACCGACAGAGAGAAAAAAGGAAGCTAAATTAGAGATTGTATTGTATCTAGATATTAACCCAAGCAAAAACACAAGTGTTTTTAAAAGAATGGACAAAATTCTCAAAACATGCGTTGTAATCTTTGGTGTACCTTGTTTCTTCTTTTCGTATAAATATATATATATCTATGCATTATAAATAGATATTCGTAAGCATATAGCGCACGTGTCAAGGAGTTCGCTTCGAGATCGTAAAAAATGCGAGAGCCAGTTCAATTTTCATCTTTTCAAAATTTTTCGCAAACTCGGACCGTTTTTGGAATGTAAGTAAAAATTTACCTAAAAAGAGAGATTCATTTTCGATGTAACCTGAACAAAAGGAATGAAAAGAACTGAAACTCTCGGCGATCTTTAACCGAACAACTCGCGACTGAGAGAATCAATTATATTGATATTCGGATGAAAAGCAGAAAAAAGGGACGCAGCGTAACTATATCTCTCTCGGTGCATTCTTCGTTTTGAAGAATCTTCGGTTGTTTTATGTTTTGTATAAAAAAAGTAAAAAGAAATTCATAAGAGCGTTACATCGTAACCCCCTTTGTAATAATGCGACGCTGGGAGCCAAGTTATGATAAGATAAGCACAAAATGTATAATTTTGTTCTTGATAGAATATCATTCACTGTTACAAATTTGCAAAACTGGCAAAAGTCAACTTTTGTCCAAGTTTGCAAAGAAAGAAAAAAAATAATACACGTGATCCGTATTTTTCACATTGTTCACTCTTTTATCAATATTCGTAAAGGAAGCGCGAGCTACGCAGTAGCCAAATTGTAAAAAAAATATGTATCTCTCGATCTAGAAATAAAATTTTTATATTTAAATAATCAACATCGACGAAAGGTAGAAGCTTATGCTTGCTCTCAAACTTGGAATCGTCAACTTGACTTTTTTTGTATATGCATCAGTTGACGCGAAATTTTGTAACAGTTGCGAATCCAACGCTTGAGAGCAGAAGCAAAATTAATAACAAATTAGTGATACGTGTATCATCGACATCCTCCTGTCAGGATTAAGCAACTGCCGACGGAACGGTTGTATAGCTCTCGTAACGCGCGCAATTATGAATAAAAAAATTTGTAAAAAAACAGAGGAAAAAAATTACGTGGAAAATAAGAAACTTTGTTGAGCATTTTTCCTCTGTTTTTGTATAATCTTTATTATTTTGTGAAACCACGAAGAAAAGAATTGTTTTTAATGAAAGAAATCCCAGAATCCAATTTCTCCATTTCCGTAGATATGTAAGAGCAAAGTTAAAAGAGAAAGGAGAAGACCATATTAAGTATGAAAATTCCCATTCCGTTCGACCGCATTTTTCCCCATACTTTTCAAAAAAAGAATTTTCATCTTTTCGTATATGAATCCCCACCCTATCCTCGATATCCTGTTAATCCTTGGACTCTTCCCAAACCCAAATTCCACATTTCCCATTAACCTGACTACCAAGTATGAATGAATGTTGAGAATTGAGAAAAAAAATTGTGTAAAAGGGAAGCATCGAGCAAAGAACGACTAAAGCACATATTCGTCGGACCGTAGGGACATTTTGCATTAATTGTGTAAACACGAGAACTTAAGGGAAAAAAATAAAAATGCAGAAGCGAAAACTAACAAAAAAATTAAAAAAAAAAAAACGTTGTTTATAAATTAATTAATTCATCACAACATTTATCGAATATTCCTCTGTTCCATCATATGTTTTTGTTCCATGACATTGTTTCTCTCTTTGAAATGTTTTATTTACAGCAATACTTAAAAAAAAAAACAAGTCTTTTATTTTTCAAGATTATTTTGATTTGTACTCTTTAATCCATGGTGCAAATAGCAATTATGTAGTAAACAATGAATACGAATAGTATCGTATTAGTTTATATTCAATTTGCTAAGTATTCATGTTATTTTTATTATTTTCATACTCTTATTATTTATTTTCAGCTAACTGTAATTATATTGTCTTTAATTGCATGAATGGCGTTAAGTTCTATTATAAAAAAATATGCAGTACAATTATTATTTTATAATTCTGTACAATTTAAAATAATAAAAATATTTGGAATATTGAAATTCCATTAATTTAGCTTCAGATTTTTTAATTTTATTGAGTTCTAAGATTTTTTTATTATATACGACGAACAATCTTTGAAGCATTTATTAAATCGAAAACGTTGTTAACATTTTACTGTACTCGAATTCAGAGTACGACTTTGTCGGTAAGACACAAGTACGTTTGTTGATCTCAACGGATCTGTGCTGGGGGTCGTACAGCTGAATCAAGCCGAGCTATGTAGAAATGATGCATTGATATTTCACAATTTGAACTTGACTAACACGGTGGCGGCGCTGCAGACGCCAGCTTCAAAAACATCGCGTGGGTACAGTATATGGAATCACGACGTTCAGTGCGCCGAGATGAATTCTCCGGCTAGTATGGCATTTCGCAGATTGCGAAATTTTGAACGTATTCAGACGAGACACTTTACAAGTAAAAAAGAAGCCAGAAAAACCTGTTTGTACGACTTGCACGTAGAAAATAATGGTGAGTACGAGTAGGGCTGAGTTTGGTTATTGATTGAGTTCGTTATCGTGAGAGTAGACGCGAAAATATGTAAACAGCTGACTTATAAACAGTGCGCATGAACGGCTGCTAGCTCGAAAATTCAAACTCTGACGCACTACACTCATTTACATCGGTATCTTTGAATTTACAATTATTTAAACTTACTTTATAACTTGATATATGTGCATTAAAAACATACTCAACGCGATTCACGAGTCAGAATGTAAGGTCGATAAAAATTCGATTGATAAAATTATGCGATATAGCGTCGAGATAGTTACAAAGAAATAACAACTAAGACGATAATATTACAATAAGATTATTGATGTACCATGTTCATAAATATTCATGAAATTAAGTAATTAAAGTATTCGACACTCAGCTAAAGATGTAAAATTTTCAGGAAAAATTGTGGATTTTGCGGGATGGCTTTTACCGTTACAGTACCGCGATTCGATTGCAGCCTCACACCAGCACACCCGATCGCACGCGTCGATTTTCGACGTTGGGCACATGATGCAAACCCACGTCTACGGCAAAGACAGCGGCGAGTTTCTGGAATCTCTCACGACTATCGACTTGAAAGCATTACCCGAGGGTGGCGCTGGACTGACGGTATTTACCAACGACAAAGGTGGCATCAAAGACGATTTAATTATCACCAAAGATAAGGACGACCGATATTTCGTCGTATCTAATGCTGGTAGAAGAGACGAGGACACGGAAACACTCTTGACAAAACTGGTAGGTAGAGAAAATTTTCAAGGTTTTCAGAGAAAGAGAAGTTAGTTAACTTATTTTTTAGAAAAGTATGACAGAAAAGGGCAAGGACGTAAAAGTTGACTTTTTAGATCCCCTCGAACAAGGCTTGATCGCTCTCCAAGGTCCGAGTGCGTCCGCAGCCCTTCAAGATTTAGTCAAAATCGATCTATCAAAACTTATGTTCATGAATAGTGTGCAAGCTAAAATCGATGAAGTTGATGTTCGAATATCGAGGTGTGGATACACTGGCGAGGATGGTTTTGAAATATCCATACCTGGCAAAAGTGCTAAAAAATTGACTGAAATAATAATGGAAAAAAAGGACGTCAAACTCGCCGGGTTAGGCGCTAGAGATAGTTTGAGGTAATTAACGTACAAATTTAAAAGAAAATTCCATGAGTAAGTATTTGAAATACTAATTATTTTAAACATTCATAGATTAGAAGCTGGACTTTGTTTGTACGGTCATGATATTGACGAAGATACGACACCCGTTGAAGCCACATTACTTTGGCTAGTCGGTAAGAAAAACACTTCTATAAATTATGAAAGAACTTTTAAGTGGACTTTTTTGTTTTTGCAAAACAGCCAAGCGTCGTCGTGCCGAAGCCAACTTTCCGGGTGCTCAACGAATTCTTGAACAGATAAAAAATGGTGCTCCCAGAAAACGTATCGGCTTGACTCTAGCTAATGGCCCACCTGCTCGTGAAAATGCTATAATTCGTACGGAAGGAGGCGAAGAAGTTGGCCGCGTAACTTCGGGTGGGCCTAGTCCCAGCTTAGGCAAACCCATTGCAATGGGATATGTGCCTACAAATCTTGCCAAAGCCGGTACTAATATTCTGGTGGAGATTAGAGGTAAAACTTACAAGGCTAGTGTGACAAAGATGCCGTTCATCAAATCAAATTATTATACTGGAAAATAGATGAAATTGAGGTGTCAAGTTATGTGACTATTTTTTACTTATGATGTACGATTTATAAGTTGTTATAAATAAATATTTTTTCTTACAATCGATGATCTATTTACAAATTTCATAAACTTCGAAAATTTCAAAAATAATTACAACAATTTTATTATTCTTTTCAATGTATGATAATGCTGAACTCTGCATTATCAACTCTAAACTTATAATTGAATGGAATGTAACGAAGCAGATTCGTGCGTTCTCCGTCAGGGAGCGATTTGACGCAAAGTGTCAAGGCATAACAATTGATGTAAAGAGATATCAACAAAAAACGGCTATACGGTCGTGAAAGCAAGTGTTCAGTGACGTACTGTTCGTACAGCAGAAAGCTGCCAAGTGGAAATTTGAAAAGAATCGCTCCAGTATGGCAGAAGAAGCTGCAGAAATTTGCGAGGCTTCGATTTATTTCGATTTGCGTAAGGTGCATGACCACTTCGATCGATCCCTTCTCGAAGATGAGGACATTTGCATAAAGGACTACCTCGAGGCTTACACCGAACTGTTCAAGTGAGTTCTTTTGTTTACCTTTGTTGATTGTAGAAACAACGCAAGTTATTTCTGTCTGGTTTGTTAGATTTTTTCAGTTGATGGGAAGCGTTTTCAGCTTTGTCTCGACTGATCTCAAACAAAAAATTGAAATCTTACAAAAACTCATTGATAGTGATCCAGAAAATTATGTTTCTATAAAGAAAATGGTTGATTATGAAAAGCAGTCCAATCTTTTTCACCACAACAAATATGGAAATGGCTCAAGGACTCTCCTCAGACTGCATAGAGGATTGGGTATGAGTCATTTTAGCTCACATTGTTTGAATTCAAATCCTAAACAATTTATTATTCTTTTGCAGATTTTATTTCTGAATTTCTTGGACAACTCAATGAATTGTCTGATACTGATAATACTTCAGGCGTATGTCAAGAAGCTTATAACAAAACTTTGGCCAAACATCATGCTTGGCTTATTCGCAAAGCAGCTTGTGTAGCTATGTATACGATGCCAACTAGAGAAGTATTACTAAAAAAGGTAAACTCTAACGATAAATTTTATCTTGTATTGAGTAGTCTTATGGTATATTACAAAAGATAGTTAGAAACAAATAAATTTTGAATAAAATGATGATGGACAAACTGTTTTAGGTTTGTGGAGATAATGTAAGTAGAAATATAGATATACTGCCAAAAATGTTAGACATTACTTCTGCTGTGATTGCAAGAACTGATACTATTTACCAAATGCATTCCTTACATATGCTACCCTAACATAAATAGACAATACGTAAATGGAGTACGTATTGTAACTAAGATAATAGAATGAAACATAATGGGCACCACTATGATATCTTATTTCAAACTTATAATGAATAATTTTAATTGTGATATTTAGATCATAAAGATTGTATTAGTGCTATAATCTAAATAATTGCATAAATGTAGGATTTAAGCATCATCAATGTGTTAAAGTGATGACATAGAGTATTTAAAGAATAGTTTAAGATCCTCTTGGAAAATTTATATCCCATTTTCTAGTTGTTATAAAACTGTTTTAACATTAGAAAAAAAGAGCAGTTTCAAATTAAGTGCAATTGTAATTTGTATAGTTTTTCATTACATAAAAACTGAAAAAAATTTTTAGCTTTAAAATTTACAAGTACTTTTTAAAACACTGCATTTAGCTACTAAACCAAAGCGTAATGAAATAACAATTCAAAAATTATATATACTATTTCTCATAATTATTATGTATTAGATTGCATTTTTAAATTGGGATGAAAGGAGACTCCTTACATATTGTTACAAAATAAGTATTACACGCTTACCAATATAAGTTTTAAATTATCTTGTTAAAAATAAGAATATAAAAATAAAAATAAAAAATGAATAGTTTGTTAAAACGTTTAAAAGTATCATAATTTAAGCTATTGTACATTATTACAACTGTAAATCATATAAAAAATCGAATAAATATTCTAGTATTTATCTTGAAAAAAATGTCTACATGTCTTTCAAATTAATAAAACTTTCATGATTCAGAAATTGTAAAATTTTGTAATCGAGTTTCAAACAAAGTATCATCCATCAGCACACCTGAAATAATAATTTTGTTATAAAATTATTTGAACGATAATAAGATATAAATAAACTTACCTGCAGTACATGCAGTGAGAAAACAAACTAAACTTCCAGCAATAAAAGCTCTGATAGCAGAAGCAGCTATATGCTCACGTTTTTCAGGGGCCATTGAAGTCAATCCCCCAACCATTATACCAATGGAACCTGGATTAGAAAATCCACAAATCGCGTAAGTAGCTATAGCTTCCGTTCTTGGTGTCAATCTTGTTTGCTCTTTTAGCTCTCCAAGTTTTTGATAAGCTATAAACTCATTAACGACAGTTTTCAACCCAATTAAATGACCAACGTCTTCGCATTCGCTCCATGGTACTCCCATCAACCAACTCAATGGCATAAACACTTTTGATAGTACCCACTAAAGAAATCACGAGTAATAAGAAAAATATTTTGATTTGAAATTTGAATAAATAGTGGATGTATCGATTCTGTGTACCTCAAAAGTAATTCCTTCATAACCGACCAAGCTGCTGAACCATGCCAATACTGCATTCAAAAAAGCAGTGGCAGATACAAAAGCTATAATATTGGCGATAATACCTAAAACAAGTGGAATCGCCGCGAGAGCACCTTTGGTCGCAGCATCGATTACGCTCGTATCCTGCCTAAAGCAGATTACATTGATTGAATATTATAAGTGCATTCGTAACTTTTTAAAATATCTGCAACTTACGATTTTTCTAATTTGATATTTTTAAAAGTCGTTGCACTCTTTTCGGTTTCTGGATAAAATAATTTGGAAAAACACAGGGCGGCAGGGGCTGACATTACTGAAGCGGTAACTAAATGCGCAGGGTTGGCTCCAAATTTGATGTATGCTGCCAAAACCGTCCCTATAAAATATGTACTTTATTTACATGACCGATGATTAACAATTTCTAACTATGCATTTTTTATAATACCAGAAACAGTAGCGAATCCTGAACACATAATAGCATGAATTTCTGATCCAGTTAATGAATTCAAGTAAGGTTTTATAAGTAATGGAGACTCGGTCTATCAATAGAATATTAGCGTTTGTATAAAAGTGAGTTTGATTAAAATGATACTACTCTCATAATAAATACCATGCCGATAAAAGTGTTTGCAGCAGAATTCATAGATTCACAGACGGTAGTCCCCATAACGATGTGTAAGAGCCAACCAATTTTTGTAATTACTACTTGCATAATACCCCAATAATACAAAACTTGTACAAAAAAGCTGCAGAAGAATATTACTGGGAGCGCCTTCGTAGATATACGTATGAATTATTTTTTTCGTTCATTAATAATTATTTTAATATACATTCATACGCACAGAAAACGCAAATATCCCTTGGTTGACCAATTGTTCAGAGTATACAAAACTTGCCCCTGTATGAGCAAAATCGAGGAATGTTGCCACTTTGTCTGACATGCATTTAAAAATAGTACGGCCTACTGACCATCTGATAGTAAATAACCCAAATGCAAACTGTAATATCATGCCCCATACTACCGGCTTCCAATTGACCTTGTAAATGAATTTTAATTACAAATTAAAACGTTTTTTAAATACGCATCAGTTATTTTATAGTCTATGTTAATGGACTATATATGGACTATAAATGGACTCAAATAGATTATAGACTCAGTGATTTATGTAAAGCACTTACTTTAGTTGGATATTTAGAGAATATCCAACCAAAAGCTAATATAGCTCCAATTCCAGCTAAACTTTTCAATCGATCTGGCGAATTTAAAGTATCAATAATAATAAATATCAAAATTGATAATGCAATAATAATGCTCGATCCCGTTTGAAAAGTGAAAAAGATGCATCTAAAATGAGCAGAAAATAATTACGATGAATGCTTCGGTAATAATTGAGGAAATAAAATTTTCATTACCCTTTTTGTTTAATATTTTTGCTACCTTGAACACATGGTAATAGTAATTTACTTAGTCTTTTGTTCAAGTATTTTTTAACAATATGATTATAAAAATATAAAAAGTATGAAAATCCAACGATGAGTAATAACATTCCATACCCATCGCACCAGTCAAAATAATTCTCTAAAATTACGTAAGATAACATGTTTTATCACAATATATTGTAAAAGACAATAAAGCTCAAGTATCATAAGTACATACCATTTTTTGAATACCAGTGCAATGTTGCAAATGTAAAATAAGTAATTACAAGCAAGTTGAAAATAAGTAATAATGAGTATTTGAAAGATGCGTTGTGTCTTGAACGAAAACTTTCAAATCTACCCGGCGTTTTAGCACCACTTCCATCGGGCAGTCTATCATCCTATAATTAATCGTAATTAATGCCTTATTTATTTATAATGATTTACTATTTGTAATTGCAGTTAGAAATTTTTCATGCTATTTTAATTTCATCTCTTGAAATCCATTGAATTTATATACACTGTTTGAGCAGTGCGATTACATTGTCGAATAAAGCCTTTGATATTATGAAAATTATCCTTATTTATTCATTTTGTGATATAAAGATATAAAAAAAAACCCAGAAAAAATTTTTTCCTTAAATTATCAGTATAATATTCACTCACTGCTTCCTTAAACTATACTTCAGACTGAGATGATACATTTTCCTGCGAAAAATTTTTTTTAACTCTTACAAATACCGATCAGATTGAATAAAATACCTCGAAATGAATGGACAGATTCAGGCTGTGTCGTCTGAGTTCCTTGTCCACCTGTATAAAATCATGAATGCAAGGTGAGAATAAAATTTATTGCCTCCAAAGCATCGAAGTTATTTGAGCATTACCTCTGAAAAACCCTGGTTCGTTTCTCCCACAGACATTGTGTCACTATAAAATATTAATTTACACGGTCACAAACTTTCGTTTAATTGTTACTGGCTGTTCACGTCTATTATTATCAGTTCACTTTCATGTCCAAGTACAACACTGGCGTTTATATCATATCAACACTACGCGTCCACGAGACATTGTGCATGTAGTTACACAACTGCTAAGCTCGAACTCGGATTAAGACCGAAAGAGAAATCACACAGTTGAGTGAAAAAAGAGTCGCGTTTCGCGTATTCCTTTAACCAAGATATCTGAGATAAGCGTGTAGTGCAATTGCGGCTCGAGCGTCGATGTAAATTGCTGGCGTCCCGTTGTGACAAAACATTTTTATTATTGACGTGACGTCACGCGCGTTTGTACTAGTGAAACGATGTCATTTTTAAACATATATTAACGGTATTTTATTGTTTGCTTTATTTGTACGTTTTTTCTTTCCAGTGTTATAAGCTACGATATCTTGGGAGCAATGATTGACGGTACAAAAATTGTCTGAAAAGACAATCGATTAATTAACAGATCAAAGTCGGGTTGAACTCTAAAAATTAAATTAAAAGATTGCACAGCACTTTGTCCTCTTGAAAAATGTTATCTTTTTTTAATGATAAGATAAATAAGGCATTTCCATTAATTCATGAAATATAAATTAAATCGACAATCATTGGCACTTCACTTTAATGAACCGAAAATCCACAAAAATCATTGTACAACAAAATTATTATCTCAATCTGCAAAATCTAAATGAATGTTTAAGTGATTCGTCAATGTATGATGACCCTGCATATTACATTGATTGAAGATTGATAGAAGACTAGTTATAAAATTTGGTCGAAAGAATTCAACATAATTTATGAATAAAATAGATCTAAAACTTTGCTACTTGAATAGTTTATGAGCGTCTTTATATGTATTTATTCTACTATAGTAGGTGAAAAGGAACTCTTTCAAAAAGGAAAAAATTTGTTTGATCAAACTTAGAAGTTTTCTTAAATTATGTCAAATTATGAAACAATTATACAATCATAAGGAAATACATAGTAATAACGATATTGTTTAAATGTTACATTAAATGTTTGCATGCTATGAAATTCATACTAATAATTTATTATGTTATAATGATCCATGTGACTCAAATGATTCTTCATCTATTAAAATTCCTAAAAAAATCACAGCAATTTAGCTTCAGGTTATTGATACATTTCTATTGAAACTAAGAATTTAAAAATTACCAGCGATACTGGCAGTTAAAAAACACACTGCGCAACCACCTACAAATGCACGAAGAACCGTGTTTACAATGTCGGTCTTCCTACTTGGCGCCATCGATGATAAACTTCCCATCATAATACCGATAGATGCAGGGTTAGAAAATCCACAAATTGCATATGTAGCGATAGCTTCGGCTCTTTTTGTTAATAAACCATCGCGCTTCAATATTCCTAGCTTCTGATAAGCAACAAATTCATTCACCATAGTCTTTAAGCCAACCAGCGAAGCTACGGATTCACACTGATCCCATGGGACTCCCATAAGAAAACTCACAGGTATGAATAGTTTCGATACGATTAGCTGTTCCACGAAAACAAAAATGATTAAAAATAAATTATACATTATATAAACAGATACAATACTGATAAGCTTACCTCAAAAGTTATTTCAGGATACCCGACCAAATATCCAAACCACGAAATAATTGAATTTAAAAAAACTACAGCCGATACAAAAACTATTAAATTTGCAGTGATCCCCAAAACTAGAGGTATGGCAGATGTAGCTCCATGAGCAATAGCATCCAAGAGGGAAAAATTTTCTCTACAATTAACAGTATCACATTATACAGCAAAAACAAAAAATTAATTCATTCAAGACTTACGATTCTTTAAATTTGATGTTTTTGAATGTAGTGCTACTTTTTTGTTTTTCAGGATAAATTAATTTTGCTATCGTCAATCCAGCAGGAGCAGACATAAGCGTTGCCGTTAACAAATGAATAGGTTCGGCCCCAAAAGATATGTAAGCAGCCATTACCGTTCCTAAAAATATAAATAGCCTATATTATTTGCAAGTAAACGAAATTAAAATATAGCATCTTTCTAATATACCTGATGTCGTAGCAAAGCATGAGCACATAATTGTGTGAATTTCTGAAGTTGTTAGTTCATTTAAGTATGGTTCAATTACAAGAAAAGATTCGGGCTATAATACAAATTTAAAAATTATTAGCAGTATTGGTCAAAATAATTTAAAATTGTTATAAATAAATTACCATTCCTAAAAATAAAGTAGTTGCTGCATGTAACGATTCGCATACTGTAGTACCTAAAATTGCATATAAAGCCCATCCAATGGTTTTAATTATGTATTGAATGACACCTAAATGATACAATATGCTGACAGTAGAACTGAAGAAAAATAAAATGGGGAGAACCTACAAGGATAACATATATTTTTCAAGAGTCAGCTTCTATATTTATGATTACATCGTAAATTGTCCACTGACGGAAAATGCAAAAGTGCCCTCTTCAACGAGTCGTTCTGAATATACAGAGGAGGCACCACTCTTTGAAAAATCCAGAAATGTTTTAACTTTTTCTGAGAGACACTGAAATATCGATCGTCCGATTGACCATCGTATCGAGATCAGCCCAAATAAAAATTGAATAATCAGTCCCCAAATAATCGCTCTCCACACTACCTATAAATGATAAATTGAAAAAATACCACATACAAAAATTTCGATTTTAATGAGCTTTGAATCTTACTTCTTTTCGATGTTTTGAAAACACCCAGCCAAAAAGTATTATAAAAAAAACTCCACCAAGACCAACTAATTTTTGCTTGGAATTCCATGTGTCTATTATTAAAAATACACTTATTGCAATTATCATACAAGAAAGTAACATGATCTCGGCATTGCACCTAGAAAATTATAATTCAGAATAACAGCACATTTATCGTCAATAATAAGTAATACATGTAAGTAGCAAGAATCAGTACCGCTTTGTTAAACTATTTAGTTTCGACCAATAAGATCGAAACCGATCAGGTGTGGAGTGGTATACTTTTTTCAAAACGTAATTGTAAGCTAATCTACCGTAAACAAAACAGTACAAAAGAAGTAATAATCCATATCCGTTGCACCAATTAAATTCTTTTTCAGCTTCTATAATTGTATTTATGAAAAGTAATATTAAATTATGCAATGTAAATTTTAAAATTATTTGTTTTAATCTAGTGTCATATACGAACTCTTTGACCTCCAATAAATAGTGGCAAAAATGAAGTAAATAACAGCGATGAAATTAATGATAAATAAACAGCAATAATATAGTGTTTTTGGATTATTAACAATTAACTTTTCAATTTTGGTATTTATTTTTTTCTGCGAACCGGCATCAGTGTCGTCTGTTTTCTGAAAAGAATTTTGTGACTAACTCGACAATAACTGTCCACTCGCAAAAAACAATTTTTTGCTTACCTTATCATTTGTATAACGCTGTAATGGAATTTCACCTGCATTACGCGACATTTTGTCAGTTTCCTGAATTTATTAGAGTTATTATTGGCACTGACACTGAATTAAATTAATTTAAAAACACACTAAATAAGCAATACCTGTGAAGATGCTATTTCAAACCGCCTTGTTGACATTTTTTTTGTTTGCATATTAAATAATATGATTTTTAATAAACAAATTTATACTAATATGGGTAATAATTAGTAAGTTCAGAAACTTTTTACCATTCACATTTCATTCACGAGTCGCTTACTCTACATAATCAGCATAATTCAAACGTTGCACATGATTCGAAAGAACAGATAAGTAGTTTTATGATGGATTAAGACTTGATGCCTCGAAAAGACTGTATAACACCTGATATATTTTATCAAGAGACCAGCACACTTCATACTGCTCGATATCTCTTAAAGCTTTGTTCATAAAAAAAATAATATGCAATTACAGGTTAATTAATTATCTTTAAAGAATGTTGAATTAGGAAAGTTTTTAAATAACCTTTGTTGTTTTAAATATCAAGTTAACAAGAAAATTAAACTTGAAACTTTAATTACTTCTCGGTATTGTTTCTCCATTATTTTGTTGCACTTACAAGTAAACTGAAGTAAAATTTATTCAATTTTTGATTTCACTCGTCATTCACCGACCAAATTGTAAAAAAAACTTTAATATGTTACAGACGATAGAAATTATTAAACTGGTAAACTAGTGCACTTGATACTTTTGAGTCAAGGAATCTGTAAATCAAGTCCTTCGTTTTATTTACATTTACGTGAAGTGAGAGACGTGTGCTGGCCACGCGCTCCAATGGATACATACGAAGCTTTTCTTTCTCATCTGCGGAAAAACGAGCCACGAATGCATACGCGAGAGAATCTGTAACTCGACTCCAAGCGCACGCTTCAACGTTATCCAACACAATTGGACTCGCCTAGCCGTTTCGCATAAACAAATCAGCGCAGGCAGTTTATCAAATTTTTGTATTGAAATTTACTGATAAATTTTTATGAGTTAGAGACCGAAGCACGTGGATTTTTAAATGAGTGGAAGAATGCAAGCAAACTGCTGAACTCAGCATGTTTGGCAATGGGACTATTGACAGAGATAGAGTTATTTTGGCGAAAAATTTTGCTATATTCGGACAAATATTTTACGTGAAATTTTTTAAGGATTCCACACGAGGCATGGCTTACGTGATGTTTGTCAGGTTCGTAAAAGTTATTTGATTTTACAGTTTCATCCAGGCTTCAAATAAATTTATTTGTAATCAAACGTATTGCTTTCGAAACATTCCAATTTGAATCGAATGAGATGAGAAAAAGACATAGCAATCATCCCTCGATGAACAATCAAGATCATCTTTTCGCTCGTCGTTTCAAACGATCGATGCCAGATAATTTGGTCTTATTAGCGAATTACAGGGTTAAGGGCTCTGGTAGATTATAGGAACAAAGCCACACAGCCAAAGTCCGTAGGTCCTGGTTCGTACGCTAGATACATTTTTTTTAAGCCTCGGAGAAGAAAATACGAAAATTGAGGAAGATTGCGCGCTGAGCCGGCGTGGGTACGCGGGTCTAAAAGATCGGCAGCTCGAGTCGCGTGCACGGGCGCGTTATCGCAATCGCAAGCGTGCGCTGTGCGATCCCCACGTGAGTAGCCACCGCCTTGCGAGCCATCGCATAGCATATGTAGAAGTATAGGTATTCGAGAGCGCGTGGCCTCGAGACTTTGCACCGCGCGGTTTGCTCTGCAATTAGCGCGCGCGCGAGCGTAGCTTCTCTGTCTCTCTTTCTCTCAATAAACGTGAGAAAAGCACGAGGCTGCGGCACGCCGCACGATTGAAAGAGAGAGAAAGACAGAGAGAGAGAGAGAAACCGGAATATTATACGGGAATCGGATGCGCGCCTGCTGGCCGCCGACGTCTTATCTCGCGCAGACGACGATACGACGATGCTTAGGAATGTCTCGTTTGGATTTCTCTGCATCTCGGCTACCGCACACACTCGGCACATAGCGCCTCTATGTACCCAGGGTACCATAGCTCGACCTGATGGACGATGCATTGACGTTATTAAACGTTTTTTAAATTTGCGCCAAAGGGTTGAATGGCAATATATTGCTTAGGCGATGGAGCTGGGTTATATTTTTTTGCAGAGGTGCATTGTGGTTTGGCGCGTATACAGCACCCGACAGATGGCTATTTTTTAATAACGTAAGTACTCAGACTCTTGTAAGCTTGGGACTTTTAAGAAACTGGGAACAAAGCCGGCGCTTTGTAACAATTTTCAAGATATTTTAACACTTCGTAAATCGGCTCGATTACATAAATCGAAATTTATCGATGATTAAGCGATGAAATTTCGATATCGTAAAAAACGATTTGCCGAGTAAAAATCCCTCGCGATATTTATAACCCTGTATGTTACGTGAACTTAATAATACAGTGGAAATGTAATTATTCATCGCGTTTCTGTATGGTGCTAAGTAAATTGATCGTTTGAAGTCGATGCATGATTGAAGTATGTGTTCCAAGACTGAAGTAAACTTCAAATTACACGAAAAAAATCAACGCTTCAACCTCATTAAATTCCCGTTCTTGTAAACAGCGTGTATTGAAGGAAAAGAGGTTTAAGCAGGCCATATGCAAGCTCTCTTCAATTTTGCTGTACTTCAAACGCCCAGCCAATGCCAGACTATATAAAATTAGCAGAGCGGAGCATATTCAATTTTCGCATGAAAAGGTATTATTATGCGAAATTGTACAATCTCGCTATCAGCAAATTACGTTTTATTTCGAAATAAAAGGCAAAGTCAATCACAGAAATTTCCACCAAGCCATTTTGTTTACTTTTTTAGATGGTCAAAGAATTAAGTTTCAAAACAGTGCGCCAAGATATTATTTTTCACGTCACGAATTATTAACCGAATATTTATGTGCCACTTGTTTTTCCTTTCAAAATGTGGGTATGTGTGCATTACTTGAGGAATTTGACTCGGTCGAAGTGTTGATTTGCGCTTTTTCGCTTGCTCCTCCAGAAACATTAAACTCCTGGCAAATGCAGCAGAAAAATTGAGCTACACATCCTCGTTTTTTTCCTTTCGCTTATCTCTTATCGCTCCATGCCATCATCTTGTGGTCTCTCACCATCGACATGATCTTTCGGAGATGCGGTACGAATGTGCGTCGTATTTTGCCACTTATTTCCTCTTCATCTCCATTTTCTCGACTACAAGCGCTGCTCTTATCTCTCCTCGGCTTTCTTTTTACGCTTAACTGGATTCAAAAAAAGCGCGAGTTGATGATTAATGTGATACTGTTTTTCCACCGCTACGAATGGACGCCTCTGTCTGCATTGTCGCTTTCTTGGAACTGCGCAAGAACTACGCAAATAATTTTCAAACCGCGAACTACGCCGCAATTGAAATATCGAGTCGATGGATTTTTCAAGCCTACATGGGGAAGTACACGAAGGTAAGGCGTAAGACCTCGTCTGCGCTCCATCATCTTTTGGTTTATCTTGGCCGACCGTATAGTCGTGTGCTGGCAGGGTCCTTATCTCTGTCCACATGCATCTTTTTTCTTCGTTTTACGTCTCATCCGGAATTACGCTCCAACGATGTTACTACCAGGCGAGGCAAAAATGCTGCCGCTGAATGAGGAGAAAAGTAGCAGCTTGCACGCGATACCCGGAAAGGTGTCTCGAGATTTTTTTGTTTTTTGAGATACAGTAGCCGCGCCTCTCTCTCGCCTCTTTTTTTTTCTCTTTCCCTCACTCGCAGCTTCTTACTCAACCCGATCCTTGTGATGATGCACGCTGTGATACGCAAGGCACACATTAAAAGACCCAAGAATACATGAATATGCATGTTATGTGTCCCCCCGGTCGTGTGAGGCACGCACACGATGATGTATACGAGATCAAAACGCGTATTTTTTCGAGAAAATTTCGAGAAATCGAGCATGAGGGATTTAGGTGAGTTCATATAATATGAAGTATCAGCTTTTGCACGCGTGAAGCGATATGCATTAAATTGGATTGTGTGTGTGTGTGTGTGTGTGTGTGTGTGTGTGTGTGCGAGAGAGGGACTCGACAGGTGGATGATACCGTGATATCCTTTCAACGTCGAAAAGTCGTTGGGAAAAAGTCCCAAGCGAATGACGCACGAAGGTCCGTGAATTATGTCGTTTTACGGGATTGCATCAGAATTATATCGTGGATCACCGCTTGCTTTTATTTGATTTTTAAGAAACCTTCGAGGGAGAAAGAGAGAAAAAAAGTAATATCTCGGCTCTCTTAGTGCGCCCCTTTAGAGCTCGTAGCTCTTAATGTATTAATGCGTGCTCGTCTAAAATACGAAGAAAAAAATACATTTCTCGCGTATTCCCGCGTACGTAATGAGGCCTACGGGTCTCGAGGATACAACTTCAAAGGGAAAGAGACAATTCTTCACACGGAATACAGTTAGATTGGAAGAAATCTATGAAATCTTGTGCGATGAATTCGTTCCATAAGCCATCGATGAGTCACTGTATATATGCAAGGACGATCAGTCAGTCCTCCTCAAATGAAATCTACCTCTCTCTTTCCATCTCTGTCGTTTCCACGTAAGTCTAGGAGCATTGTACAAAGTTTCGCGTCTGAGCAATGTCTAGCCTAATCGCTATTCTAGATGTTTTTTTTTCCTCTTTATTCCCAGAGCGAGCCTTAATATTCTGCGAAAGGCAAAAACGAAATGCCGCGTATTATATATATTGTATCGCTTTCTTTAATCCCTGCATAATATGTGAATTCCTAATTCAGCTGGCATCGCAAAGGCTATATAATTATACCTGCTGCGGCGGACACCTTCGACTTTCCTCGGGCACGAGCGGAATTTCCTGTACAATATGTGAATAGCTCGGCTTGAGCATCCGACAATATTTTGCTCGTGTATGAATGAATGCGACGGGGTAAAAGACGCGGCAGATGCACCGGATGCGGAGAGCTGCTAGCGCGATGATCCTTCTGTGACACGAGGCAAACAGAGAGAGGGAAAGAATCTTTCAGGTGTCGACGAGAGCACCTTACCACAGCGAAGCTTCGCCACCTTTTTTTTTCCATCGCCGCAACCCTTTGCTCGTTGCTCAAATAAGACAATGCTTGTATCTAGCCCATTGTCTGCAACTTCTAGAGCATAAACACGAAATACAGTTATGGTGCACGCAATCAACTGACGTTCAAAACAAAAATACACCCATGTGTGTGTGTGTGTGTGCATGTTGCTGTCTATTTTGAGCTAGTCGAGCAATTTTTGAACAGAAAAGGCAGGTCAAAAATAACGATAAAATTTGAGAATTTAAACGGTAGCAATTCTCGAAGAATCGCAGAGTCGAGATTTTAGATTTCTCGCGGATATCACTCGAATAAGATGTGAGAAATAAATTGGCAGCGGAGTAACAGGAGAGGCAAAAAATACATGTGTAATCGATCTCCGAAATCGTACGCTTGGTAAAATGACAAAAATGATAACGAGAAGGACGTATGTTTTAAGAAGCTGCCAAGAGGCTCATAGTGCGTGCGATAAATATTGTATTACTGTTTGCGTGCGCGAGTCTATGGGAATTATTTGAGACATCAGATACTGCAAAAAAGCCAGTAAAAAGTGGCTCGTCAAATTGTCGAAGCTCCATTATTTGTGTACGGAACGAAGAGTACTTGGCCGTAAAGCGAGATCGGGCATGCGTCGCTGCATAGACAAGTATGAGCGCGCGTGGACTGTGGAGGCTCTTGTTCGCGAGTTAGCGCTCATCTCTCGGCGGTACACTAATTTAGCGTTCATGCGTGTGTGCACATGCAGCGCGCGGCAATGATTATATACGAGTCTGGGTCGCATGAGGCAGCCGCTGAAACAAGTAGTAGCCAAACAACAATTTGATTCGCCGAGCGGGCATTATTTATTTTGGTATGTCTAGACGCCAAATTGTCTGTCCCGCAGCTCATTCTCTCTTGCTCTATTTGCTATATATATATACAATCTCTATCGCTTCTGCTGCTGCTGCTACTGCTACTACTATTGTGAGTGTGCTCCGGTGTGTTCGATAGCCGCAGACAGACGTGACGTCAGCTCACACCACAACGCACACAGATTGTAACTCTAGTTTGAGCTTTTTCTATGCATTTGTAAAGCCTGTGTGAGTGCATATATTAATAAAAACGCGATTGGCACGCAACGTCTATAGAGAATGGTCTTTTTTGGGGTCAAATTCTTATTGAATTATAGAAAAAAGCCTCGGTATAATTGTAGAAAATCAAACTCTCACCACTGATCTAATTTTTATGAATCGATCGCTTACGAGAAAAAAAGTTTTATGTAATTGAAAACCATATAAACGGCTCAAATGAACATAATTTCAAAGTACCATTCCTCGCAAGAGATAATCTCGAATATATTGGTAAAAATCTTTGTTGACAATAGAGAAAAAGAGAGATCCAACGATTACGTAGACACCGAAAACACCTCTTGTAGGTATATGTAAAGAGTCCGGAGGGACACGAAGTGCAGCAATAGCCGCATCAGTAGCTACCAGGCTACAGGTTCATTTCGCTTCAAACCAATCAAATAAAATGCCTCTAGCAGCAGCCAGACACTCACACTTCATCGCCTTGCATACAAACGCATTCTCTCTCTCTCTCTCTCTCTCTTTCTCTCAAAGTTTTTTATCTCTTTCTCTCTCTCTTTCTCTCTCATTCGCTCACATGTACGTGATGAGCCTCTGAACTCGATTTCTCTCTCTCTCTCTCTCTCTCTCTCTCTCTCTCTCTCTCTCTCACTCACTCAGTCGAGAGTTGGGGCTGTTTTATTAAAACGATACATTATGATTCACAAGATCATATCTTTCGAATCGTCTAGACGGTAAAAGAGAGAGGAAGACACCCTATAAAGTCCGACAGCCCTCGCGGCAGTCGCACTACCGTACGTGTGTACCTCTGTATGGTAGTATATAGCAGCTCTTCGCATCATCGGCTCTCTCTTTCTCTCTCTCTCTCTCTCTCTCTCGAGGTATCAACTGCTCGCGTGAACATGTTGCTACACTCACAAACACAAACACAGATGCAGTGCAGCGCAGACACACTCGCATCCTAACTCTTTTTCTCCTTTTTCCGTCTTTTTGTCGTACGCGTCCCGTCTTTATCTCATTCACGTTTCAAGAGCGACACAGTGTGCGATACACTTTTTCAAGTCAGCGGTGTGTGTAAGAGTGTATATCAATTCCGTCTGCTGTCCTCCTTTTTGCACGTGAGTCTCTCCTCTCCTGCAGCTTGTGTATGTATACGCGCGAGACGGCATCATAAATTGGACGAATGGCCCAAACTGGAATCCATCCAGCGATTGGACTATACCCTCGCGATCGATTGCACGTAGGTTTTTTGTACTTGTTTGGGCCTCGAAGTTTTTAACCGAAAAATAAACACCTCCTCGAGAGCCAAGAAGAAGAAGCCAAGCAGGAACCAAGCTGCAGTATATATACACTTTTAATTATGTTTATTGAGCCTGCCCTATGTTAAATTTAAACGCAGCGCTATAAAACATCCCGACGCACGTCAGCTACCGTTTACGCGCCTGCGAGCGCGTACAATATAAAGACAGGCCTGAACGACGAGGCGATTAGCTTTTTCAAGACAGACAGAAATAAAAGTTAAAGGGCTCGGTCCATTTCGGAATTAATGGGCTCGTTTATATACGCTGCAGCGTGCGCGAGGCGAGCTCGAGAGCGAGTGCACCCAGACGCGACGAGTAAAAAGTAGGCCATTATCGGAATAGAAGAAGAAGAAGAGGCAGTAGCAAAGTCTTTAGTGCAGCAGTTACAGCAGCAACACACATTGCTCATAAGCTATGTATGAATTCCGTCGTGGAAAAATCAAAAATTCAACCCACGACCGTGCTCCAAATTATTTAGCACCTCTTGTAATTCTGCTTGATAATTTATTCCAGTTCGGGTGATGAGAAAAAAAGAGCGAAAAGAGAGAGGGAAATGAAAAAGATCAAAATCAAGGATGAGCAACTAGTAGGAACAATTATTCGAGCCTGTTTTCAGCTCTTAATACTGCTCGATATTTTTACGCTTTAGCCGATGAAACTTTACCATGCACCTTTCTTGAGTTGAACCACGAGTTGAGCACGAGTCAAGCACGAGTACCACTAGCCGCATCTGAAAATATGTACGTGTAAAGCTACACCATGTTCCGATTTGCATCGGCCGCACGTTCTTTACAGCCATAAGACTGTACGTCTGCGCCTTACTCGTTTATATGAACGCACGTGAGTAAACAAAATTCATTGCGCACCTGTTTAAGTACACATATAGCGTTCAAAATTTAGACGCGTCTATTTATAAGTAAACTCGCACTTACTATACGTCATTGATCGCCTTAAATATACCGCGAGAATTTATGTAAAAAAAATTCCATAGATGTAATTTACCGGAGTCGGTGAACGATCATGCGCATTAGCAGTTCTGTGAGAGTACTTATATGCACTCTTTCAAATGGCTTGGTGACGGCCCCCGGTGTTATGCATCAAGGTGCATAAGCGTAGAAGAAAAGTGCACTACTAATAAATATACCCCGATACATAAATGCGATCGTGTTCGTTTTTTCTTATCTCTCCTTTACGTATACCTTGGTATGATGCTGCAAAAGTCGTCACGTCAATTGACGACGATAAACAGCAGCAGCAACAGCATCAGGCGAAAAGAAGGAAAGGGAAAGAGCGAGAGAGAGAGAGAGAGAGAGAGAGAGCTGTCTGCGAGCTGTCTGCCGTCGATGTTTACCCTGCGGCCCCCATCAGACCGAGCTTGGGCGCGCGACGCTTGAAAGAGGTGGTGTGTATATGCCTACATGCATGTGTACGTATAGTAGTAGTAGGTATATAGTGAGTAAGAGGAGGCACGCATGGTAGTGGCGAGCGAGAGAGAGAAAGAGAGAGATAGAGAGAGAGCGCGCGCAGAGCGCTGAACCGCGAAGACGCGCGCGCGCACAGCACACTCCGGTTTTTGCCCGCCGAACTTGTTAAAAGAGCACGCGAGCTGCCGAAGGACCAGAGACGACCGATGACTTTTTCGCGCTGTAGATCGGAGAGACCAAAAGAAAGAGAGAAAAAAAACGAGCTAGACATTTGCGCGGATTGTGCATCGCATTGATATCGTACGCAAGCACGACAGTGCTTTTGTTCGCGCTATTTTTTCTGCATTAATCAGCGAGCGTGATTTATTTTTAATTTGTTTTCAACAATATGTGATTGAACCGTGAATTTTGTGAACTTTGACAGACGGCAGTGAGTTTGAATTGAAATTGAACTTTATTTTTTGAAAAGACTTTTTGCGATTAAGAATCGAAAAATGTCGTTGACAATGAAAGTGTTCCTGTTTTGTTTTGTAATGAGCAGTATATGTCATTGCGCGACATCGCACCACCTGCGTCACCACAACAGTGCCGAGATAGACTCTTACAAGAGGAGTCGAAACAACGTGTTCAATGGCAACAACGAGTCCGATCTCGAGACCAACAACAAGATACCTTACAGCTACAAAAAGCTCAACACGATGCTCAACAAAGCCATACTGCAGATCATCCTCGGTGAACTTCGTCCGGCCGATCTTCTCGTGTTGAGAGCTTTCAATTACACTTTGGATGACGTCATGGCCATAAGGGAGCACGAATTTAAGAAAAATAAATACGAAGCCAGCATTCGCCGAAGATCGTCGGCAGCGCATCAACAAAACAAAAAAATTGACCACGACGTGCAAAGTGATTTTGACAGCTATAACAAACAAGCGGTCTTCGACTACGAGAACGCGGCCTCACAAGCACCCGTCAAATTCGATTACGACGACGTAAAGCTCGTGGCCGAGGACACCGCTCACCAAAGTTTTGACAAAGCTATGGAGCCACATGTGGTTTTTCGCATAAAACCCGACGATGCGGACTTTGACTCGTCCTCGTCCGACGAGAGATCGGAAATCGTGGGGCTGAAAGCCTACAGGACCAAGACGATCGTTAAGAGCGACGACGAGGAAAATTCTGCAAAAAGGCATTCCTTTCAATTGTCTAGTGCCAACGATAAGCTTACTATTGCTGAGAATGATTTAGAAGGACGTGCATCAACCGATTATGAAAATCGCGTACCCGGTGATCAGGATTACTACGCGCCTCATGGAAAATTCGACCAATCGGCCAATCGCGCCCAACAACGCTCCGACGATTCATTTGTCGTAAACGCTACCAATGACGAAACGACGAGTGCTCAAAAAGGCGAGGAGTACGAAGGCCTCGAGTGGATCGGTGGCGATGTTTATCGAGTCAAGCCCGACGCCATGGAAACTCTACTGAATTACGACGCCGAGCTCACCGAAACTACTTCCGATTATGATGGCAAAGATGATGACGTTTGGAAGCAGATGAATGGCTACCCTACCGTGACTGATATAATCAACGATACAGACGATTACCAAAGAGATATCGAATCGACTGCTAATGAAACTTTGGCAGATAACCAGAATCTTACCTCCTATCAGCGATTTGCAATGGCTCAAAGACAAGAGTGAGTTTTCAGTTTTTTTTTATAAATCTCAATTAAATTTATTTAGATTTTACTTACTTTTATTTGCAAAGTTATGGAGCTTGCGAGCTTTGATTTAATATATTATTTACTTAGAAAAAAACTTAGACTTATACACACGAAATGAATTTATTTCTTATATTATTATAGTGAGAGCTCAAAAACTACGTATAGTAGGTAAGAGTAAACTTTATTTAAACGTCACACATTCTGTAAGTATTATCAGGTTACTCAGGAATAATTTGATAACAGCTTGTTTTTTCGAACGTGTGAATAACTCAGTTTTCGTGTTGGATACATAAGTCACGAGTCGTTGAAATTCCAAATAATATTGCAATAACAAGAAAAGTATTCTTAACTAACAACAAACGTATATTATATCCAAACTGTATATTATTTCTACAATAACAACCAACCGTTTATTTTTACTTCAATTTTTACACTTCACTTACACCGTCTTAACTCAATCTAATTTCTAATCTCGATTCACGACATTTGGCTCGTGTTTAAATAGATTTCGAATTCCCCACGTAAGAACGCTATGGTAGTTTACACAGAAATAATTGTCACGAGGATGTTTCGTCTTTCGTTCATTCATAAGCTTATGCAATATTATACGCGCTGAGATTTCGCATAATGCTGACCTTGCAAAGTCGCATCAGTCGCACTGTGAGACCAAAGCAACGATTAGGTGATTTCGCAATGTATCCCCTCGCTTGTATTTGACCAACGTTACAGTAACACCTAACCGTGACACGAGGTACATTAAAATAATTTTAATAGAAATTTATCATTTAAAAAAAATATTTCACAATAAAATAAGTGCGTTGCAAATATTTGCAGTTTAACCGTTTGCCCGAGATTCAATGGCAGCAAAACATCGTCGTCGAATTTCGTCGAACGAATGTGTAGCCACGCAGAGCCTAAAAACTGCATCCGAATCGCGTGGGTTAGATTGATGCGAGAACGGAAATTGAAATAGTCGGAGTGCAATTCGTCGTTCGAATTAAATAGGATCATTGATTCTCGGTAGGCCACGCATGCATGCATGCGTATGTAAGCAATATTCGCTGCTGCTTTGTTCGTTCGCGCGCTTAGATTTTTTTATGAGCACTTGGGCTTGCAGCGGAGGAGAGCTTGTTAGACGTCTCTTGGCCACGCTGCCCCAGACGGGTAAGCAGACGAGCACGTATACATACATACCCACGAGTGAGCGAGACGTCGTAAAACGCGTGACTTGGACGCCTCGACAGATTAACGTGCATGCCATGAGAAACGTCGTAAAATTTTTCGAAAAAAAAACATAGCCTCCCTCTCTCTCTGCTGTAACCCTCTCGTCTACCTAATGCATTAACTTCTTTTTTTTCTTCCTCTACGTAAGGATTATACAATAATTTTCTTCTCTTCGTTTCTAAGCTCGTTCGCGAGAGTTGCTCTCTTTCAATTGCTAATCTTCGTGTTTTTTTCCCGAGCTACACAACAAATTTCTCTTTCTCTTAACCTGTCAACCTTTTTGCACGTCATCTGCTTTTTGCCCATTGACTCGTATGCACAGAGTCTTCGAAAATCTTAGCTACATTTTTCTCTCTAACGAGATAATTTTTAGTATCTTGCATAATTTTTTTCTGGTACAAAAATAAAAGTATGATAGCTCAATTTATTTAATTTGCACGATTCACACCGACGCATTTCCCAACGTATTTATCACCCAGAGCAAAAATTACAACCCATTTTGCCTTGGTAATTCTTTTATTTCCTCGGTACTTTGCAACGGTTCAATCTTTTTTCACATGAGCATTTTAAGTCTTAGCTTCTATTACCATTGCGAATAGTTGAGTACGCAAGCATACCGTACTCTTTACTGCTACGCACTTATCCCTCGTTTTATGTACCGACCCACACTTGCTTTGGTACGCCTCCTTTATGATTTGATTCTCGCATTTAATCCAATAAAAAGCTAACTAATAATGAACAAACTATGATTTTCAAAACACAAGAGAAATTAAATTGTTTTCATACTGTCCGGTACAAGTGATTTAAAAATAGACAAAACTGACTTCTTAGTGATGAAATTTCATTCAAACCTTATCTAAAAATAGCCATAAAGGTGAACTTAATAAAAACCTAAAGAAAAATGTCCAAGGTTGACATTTTTTCAAATTACAAAGTAGATGAGTCCCCCAGAATGGAAAAACTACGTACGAAACCAGCTCAACCAGACAACACATATAATTACTTATTCAAATGGCGAAATCTCATTCGAAGACAAAAACTCGGCGGGTCGCTCTCTTTTCCGTCCGATTTAAAATATTCAATACGTATATAAATATGCAGCTGGACTCGCCGTCATCACGACCTCGTATCACTTACCAAAAAAAGTGGACACACTAAATCCTTATCGACCAGTCTACACATTGGACATGTAAATAAAAAAAAAAATGAGATTTACGCGTATCAACAAAAAAAAAGTTTGTGTACAGTATCTGCTGCACAACCCTCGAATTATGTGCATAGATTTATATACGTATATATTCATCCATACGCTTGCATTTCTTCTCTTTCTTCCAGTCTAGTCGTCGTCTAGCCGACGACGGATGATTAATGCAAAGTGTGAGCCGGCGGCCGCTCGAATGCGCAACAGGTACGCTCGGCTGCCGTATATCTACATGCTTGGTTTACATAAATCTTTAGCCATAAAACAAAGTGCCCCGCTAATACAACTCAGGCGAGGAAAAGTCCTCTCTTATACACTTATTTTTTATTCACGCTGGACAGCGAGTTTATCTCCCAGGTGCTACGAGAGCGTGCATGCTTGCATAACTTTGTTACCTCAAACGCGCGTCCAAGAAGAAAAGATGGACAGCCATTCGATCGGCTCGTACACGTGATTAACGATGAATTAATCGATTTGTTTGTTTATGTATTTCAACACCTGATTTATTTTGTCTGATGAGCATCAACTTGTGCACTATAGTGTGTGCGTGAGCGCGCGTTTGATACAGCTTGGGAATTAAATTTTTTTGGTTGGTTCTCATTGAGTAGGGAATTTAAAGTTTCCTTTCAATTTTCAGCCAAGGACAGAAGGCTATTGAAGACATAAAAATGCGCATCCTCGCGCTGACTGGAAGGTTCAATGCCACTGCGCCGCAGCCGAGCCAAGTGCAGAAAGAAAGACTAACCATGTTCACACCGACTTGTAAGTTTGCAAATATTCTAATGATCCGCTCGTGTAGTTCGATATTCCTACCGATCTACGCGCTAGCGGTACATTTGCGGCTACAGAGGATTTTTCTTCAATTAAAGGAAATATCTCTCGCGTTTTTCCCCGAGAACAGGTCAAATACCTCGCAATACGGACGCGGAAGCTTGGACAGATCCGTTGCACATGAACATGTACTTCCAGTTGAATCTGACATTGGCCGAGCAAGTGTTGGCCGCAAAATTAAGACTGTTCAAGCTGCCTCAGGACAGTAGCAGTCGCAGCATAATTTCGACCAGCAGTAGCAGTACTTACGAAGAGGAGGAGGAGGATGAGAAGAAAATTAGAGTATCGGTTTACTTCTACACGAAATCGCTCAAGAAGCACCGAGGTAATTATTAAATTAACCTTTAATGCCTTGCGGCTCATCATGCAGCATGCGCGCATATTAAATATGTTGAATCTCTTTCTCTCTCTCTCTCTCGCGCCTCTGCATTCAAAGTGTCTCCAATTGGCGGAGAAAGCTGTAGCTACACAGCAGCAGCCACTTTTTCAACATTTGCATTTTGTTTATGGACAAGATTTTGCATACATACACGCGCGAACTAGATTAAAGTGACGTAAATTATAATTAACATACCTCCACGGCATGGGGGTGTCTCTCACTCACTGATCAGACGAGTCGAACCACTTTTGACGCTTTTTACCCAGGAGGATTTCATACGCAACATATAATGATCGTCGTGGCTGTCTTCTCTCTTTAACATTTGAATCACTAATGCACGTGTGCATGGGCTATTAGCGTAGTTTAATTTATTTCATGTTTAATAGTTCTGACGAGCGCCAGAAAACGTTTGGAATAGCCTAACGATCGAATATAGAATACTAATTTTGCGTGGCAGAATTCATGGACCGTTTATCGCTTCTTCGCGATAATCAATTCAGTTACACGGCTGCTTCAATAATAATACTGCTTTAGAAAAAGCCATTAAAAAATTTCCATTCTAGCATGCTATTTTTATCTTTATTTGGATTTACAGCTAAAAAACGATTAATGGATTCGGTCGTGGTCCCGCTGTCCTCACAGGGCAGCCATTTAGCACTGGATGTTAGGCAAGGATTGCGTTTTTGGAAGCCGAGCGTACAGCACAATCACTCGAACGGAGTAAATCACGGCTTGGTTGTTCAGGTCGAGGATCAAGAAGGAAGACCATTGAAACCATCTCTTTATATACAGCAACCCTCGTGCGAAGCCTCTGATCAGGATGAGAAGGCATGTGAGTGTGTGGCCTAACAATACTAACTTGGCTTGTTTTCTTTTTATGTTTGTTTTCCTTACCAAATTATACATTTTTTTGATTATTGCCTCGTTAAAATAAATGAAAATTACAAGATTATCGAGCAAAGTGTTAATGCTTATAACACATGATGTAATGACATTTAACACAATTTAACGCCATGAGATTTTGCAAGCTTTCATTTGTACCGAAGTGGGCCATTAGAATGTCCTATATCAATTATCTATTGAGGAAAATAATTTCTCTTAAAATATGTATTCGGTGCTAATGAAATGAATGTCTAAAATTTGTAGAGATAATTTAAAACCAGTATTTTCATTGTAATAGCTATAGTTAATACATTTTTATTTTTTACAGACCAATTCATCCCTGCCCTTTTCGTCAGAGCCTGTACTCGTTACATTCGCATCATAAATGGGACCGTCGAAATGTATTTAAAATGCGGCTCAACCCAGAGACATTAAATTTTCTTCAGAAATTGCTAAGCAAAATCATTGCTTGTTCTTTTGTGGAGAAACTAAAAGTATTCTGTAGTCAGTTAAAATGAAAATTCGGACACAAAACCGAATTAGCTTAGCTCTTACATATAACATTTCAAAACTATTAAGTACCGGATGAACTGAAGCTGGAATGATTTGTATTTTTCGAATTCGCTGTTTAATTTTATAAAGTATTTATTCCAGAATTTTTAGCATGCGGTAAGTCACTTAAATTGAAAAAGCCGAGCAGCACTTCGTCGACCCGGTTTATTATGTACCTTCATAAGTTATCACTAAATGAGTAATAGTACTCGCATCAACGTTTGCATATCAGCTTTGGATAAGTTCAGACCGTAAATGAAAGTCATTAGACGACTTGTACCGATTAATTAAATCATCGTTTTTACATTGTTGTACATATCATGAATTCTTGTAATTACTTAGTAGGGATCTAAAACTGCTTTTTAAGAATTAATTCATTTTCTTGTAATATAAATTCACTTCAATTCATGTATTTTATATTATTTTATATTGGAAGCTCAATGACTGATGTAGCCAAATGTAGATAGTAAGATACGTATAAAACGTAACAATCATGATACTCTACAAATCTAACTTCCTAAGGCATAGAAATATGCTATGTTAGCAAATTTTTGCTTACAAAATAATTATTTATCATCTAATGTATGTGTAAGTTCCATTTTACATAAAAAGTGCTTGGGCGCAAAATTGTATATAATGTAAATTTTAGACTTATAGGTTGTAAGCATTTGAATAAGAAGCTGATTCTATTTTAGTTTGATTTTTAAATCGCAATTATATAATTTCACAACTTTTGATTTAATACTTCATTTATGCAGCTTAACAATTTTTGATACAAAATAAATGTAATTATGATTTGCTTACAGAGCGCTACTTCGTCTCTTATATATAAATAATTTATCTGTTCATACTTTTTAAATAAAATAAATTTTAAGTTGTATTTTTTACAACGTGACTGTATTTTTTTGAATAATGAAATTTTCTACCTCCTCAATGATGCCTACTTATCGGTAACGTCATTTTCTACCACACTCGTATCTTAAAAATCTGGCATATAGCTCCATCTCTCGAAAATTCAAAGTAAAGTACATCAGAAAAAACTTTTCATGCTTGATCTAAAAATAAATTTCAGGTGATTCTTACACTTCCATCTATTTTATGAAAAAATATTAAATTAGTTTAATCATAAGTTGTTTTTATTGGCATTTGTCAGACATGTCAATTGATATTTTCTGTATTTAAATCATGCATCCTCATCACGTCATTTTATATCAAATATTTTAGAAGTACAGCCAACATGATCTGCACTATCATTAGAGCTTTATTTGGTCAGTTGATTTTGTGTAAATCGCTTATAAAATAAAAAATATGTTAAACTTTAAAAGCTTTACAATTTAATATTAATAATTTTAAACCATAAAAAATTGTTTATTCAAACGAAAATTCGACGTTTAGACCTTAGCCTATGTCCTATATATTACGTACTGAATGCTATAGTGGCTCTTGTTCCGTAACACACTTTACACAATATTCATAATCAAGTTTGATTTTGTTACAATAACATTGAAACCCAAATACTGCAGTCTCATTTTCAAACATTCATTCGTATTATTATTAATTACTAGCACCCGAGTTACTTATGAATGGGTGTCCTATTATAGAGCGCTAACAGGCCTACTGACTTCTCAGCTTTTTTTGCACTCCACCCGCCAAAACACGCAACTTTACACGCAGTGTGCTTTCAGACATCTCTTTTAGCAGTGCGCATTTCGTCCCGCGCATCGTCATAGGGCTTGATCAGACTTATTAATTATGTGCTATGACTCAGTGAAATAGACTTTACGTGTTGTTTTTATGCCGGTTTGACGTGAGTAAGGGTGAATTCAATCGATCGCGATGGATGATAATGAGTTGAGACTTGCCCAAGCCTTGGTAGAAAATAATTTGGGATCAAGAGCAGGAGATGCTTTAGCACGTTTGCAAGACAGACTTGACGCTTTTAGGTAAGTCGATGCTCGTTAAAAAAAAAAATAGAATTTAGTCAAAACTAGTGCGCTAAATTACGAGATGCAGAAAACTTTTGAGGGAGTGGACGGTGATTGATGAAATGGACGTGAATGTAACAAAATAAAAAATGAGTCAAAACGTAAAAATACGATTGGTGAAAAGCTCAATGGCCTTACTTACTGCAAAGATGACAGTTCATTGAGTGTGGAATTACGAAATAGCAAAAGTTTAACTCATTTTCCATTGATTAATGAAGTACATTAATTTTTTTTAAGAAACTCAGAAAACAGCTCTGCATGTGATTTTGTTTTCAATCTATATGTGAAATTCATGACTGAATTTGTGTCAAATGAATATACCCATTTGGAAGTCAATAGCATTAATTTATAAACCTTACTAAATCGTCATCACGTATGTTGCGATGGTGGTGTAATGGTCAGCATAGTTGCCTTCCAAGCAGTTGATCCGGGTTCGATTCCCGGCCATCGCACATTTTTTGGTTTTGGGAAACAGTTAATCTATCTCTTTTTGAATTCAAGGCCAGTTGTCAGACTTGTCTCTGACAAAAATTTTTTTTCGTCATTTTTCACATAATATTTTGAAGTGAATGTTTCTGAATCGTTTAAGCGCATATTGTAATTGTCATTTGCAGTCATATTCATCTATCGTTCATTCGAACAACTATAATTAAAAATATCAATGGAAATTTGGTTTGACGAACGAAGTTCAAAAATCAATTTTCTACACCAAAAATAAACCAATTTCATACGTATAATAAAAAAATGATATTTGCTTTATTTCCCCAAAGCAGCTCACGATCAGAGTTAACTGTTGATCCAGTGGAACCGCGAAGGTAAAGCAGTTATTAAAATGTTCTTTGCCAGCTAGCGCCACCTGCATGCTACGCAACTGATGATAATTTTATTTGCAAGTTTTTTTTAACAACAGACGTTTATAAAAACTTATTTATATTTTCTAGGCTTTAATTAATGTTTGTGTATCATTAGAGTAACGATTAAAACATATTTTTGCACGAAGTTAAATCATTTTGTTTTTGAGTAGATTGCATTGATACTTACACGATATTATCACTATTTTAAATCATAATTTCATAGACTGAAAAAAGCTATGATTTTGTAATACCGTCCTTCCCATGTAACTTATGAATAAAACAAATTTATGTAACCTTTAAAATTTTTAGTAATTGACAGGTACACAATATTAAAAATTGAATTCTAGTTAAGAGTTTCTTGTTATTATTTATAGTACAACACTACTAAATTACTTTGAGCAAAGATTCGTCGAATGAAAAAAATGATTCTACCTTCGTCTACTATTTCTTTTCCTACTATAAATACTATTCATTCCAGAGTTAGTGATATTCTAAATATAGAAAAACATGTCAAATGCCAACCAACTACATTATGCAAGGATTATACTATATTTATAGGCTCAATTTATCATAAAGTTTTTTCATCATCTTAAATTTGAATCGAATTGTTCACGCTGATATAGACATCGTGAGTTTATCTGCATTTTATTATTTTAAAAGTATCATATTTGTTAAAAAATATTTTTACTCGAAAAATAATAGCTCCTTATGGATATAAATTTAGCAAAGACAAAACAATTTACTACAATCAATAAATATATTCCATTTTTTCTAAAGTTTATGACCAAGTTAAGATTCGAAAAGTCATAAATAATATACTTTTTTGAACGCGATATCCGTTGCTAATAAATTTAATACTGAGTAAAGAAAAACAAATTCAATGTTGAGTACCATATCGTGTTAAGGCATAAAAAATTAGACATTTTTATTGAAGATTAGATTCAAAACTAGCGCGTGCTCACATTTATGTATTTTGATCGTGTGCCAGGAGGTTTGAACTCGCAATATTTTCACGTGGCGTGTATCTATCTATCTATCTCTCTCTTTTTCTCTCTCTCTCTTTCTCTCTCTCTCTCTCTCTTTCGTGCACTCGATCGCTGAAGCAAAGGCTCGAGTTTTGGCTTTCGCATCGTATCGTGTGTAGTAACCGGTAGACTGTAACAGTCACTGCCTGCATCGAAGACCGAGATCATGTCGTTGTCTTCACCTACAAGCAGCGGTTTTCACTCGCTTGAAGATCTGTCAGACTGGTGAGTACTGAGGTTGCCCATCCATATTAAATTATAAAATTGAAAAAAATCATCGGAAGAAATTCAACGTGACTCGATGACAAGATCATAGAGACAATTGACTAATTTGCTCTACTTATTTCGGAATTGAGTTTGTGAATGCACTTTGGTGTAAATCAATTGTGATTTTCTTTCCTGAGTGTAAAATTTACAAAAACAAATATTGTAGTTAAAATTTTAGACTAAAATTCTAAAATTTGCGCAGGTAGAGTTTATGACATGTTTTTTAAATGAGCGCAACTTAAGATGCTTCAAACTTTCAAAAAAGAGTTAAAATTTTCAAATTAAATTAAACTGGTTACGGTGGTCTGTTGATTTTAAACAAGTGATTCAGATAATTTTAAAAACCTTTTTCTTCAATATCTTAGTGTCAATTAAAAGCATTCGAAATTTTGGCATTTTTTCGTAAACAAATTAAAGCCTCCGCAGCTGGGCTTCGGAAAAATAATTAAGTAAAATTGTATACTTCTCAAAATTTTACGATAGGAAGCTGCATAATAATTCTTGAAAGTTATGATTATGCCGCATGAAGGTACGTCAGATCAGCTTTAAAATAAAAAGCTCACCCTGATCGATTGCGTCACGTGGGCTTGCCAGCAGCACTTTATGATGAACACTATTTTCTTATGTGTTTGCGTATATAGTACGTGTATATTCATGCGTGAGAGAGCGTGCAAAAGGTATGCAATGGCAACAAGAAATTTCGTAATAACGACACGATAAGTGAGATGGAAAGCGAAATGAGCAGTACCTCAAACCACATACTCAATGTTAATAATGTCCTCGATCCGATGATTGTTTTGCTCGGTAATAGCTCGATATTAGCATGGAAACATACGAGAAAGTTGCTGCTGGCTGGACGAGGTTAAAAAAAAAAAAGAAGACCTCTTCGACAAGTGCCGCGGAAAGAAAAATTCCACAGCTATAGATGCATTATATCATCGATGACGGAACAGTAGAATTTATACTATAAAGAAATTGGATAATTTCTGTTTTTGATATTTTTTCAGCTACCAAAGACAGAACCTTTTTTCTTCTTGTCAAAAAAATTCCTCACTCTCATTCTATCGACACAATTTAAATAACAAAAAAATTATATCGTTAAACTATTTTGTATGGTCAAAGCATTATCAAAGGATCGATAGAAGCTAATAGATAACATAGAGAAATTTCTTGAAAATTCATATTCTTATGTGTGCGGCCGAGTAGCGTGATAAATGGAACTGTCAAGCTTTCGCGCTTATTTCTCTCTCGTCCGCGGGTTATCGCAGACACACGCGGTCGTTATCTACTTCACTATAGTTTCTAAATGCTGAAGTGTAAGGCGGTAATACACGCGGTGTGTATGTGAAAACGTGGCGCTTCAGTACATGTTGTGATGCTTTGCTCAAGAGCAGCGGTCGCTTTCTTTGCCCGTACTACAGTTTTGCGCTGTACACGCAATTTGCCAGCTGCTTGTGTTATCAGGTATATAAATGTGTGTTGCTCGCGTGACCGTGTCGTGGTGTTAGTGTCCATCTGTGAATTTTCACGATAGTGTAGTTTTACATTTAAAATTCCTGATAAATGATCGAACTCGCGCGTAGTTTCTACGCATTAGCTTTTCTATGATTCTGTAGATGAGAGGCTGTCAACGCAGATCTCGTGAATGCAATATTAAGAATATGAAGGAAAATTTTTTAATAAAAATTCTTTATAAATACTTAGTGATAAGTGAAATTTTTTGATTCTTAAAATCGTTTCA